CTGTAATTTTAAATATACGAGTAAATTCAAATGAATAAGTGTATACATGTATATTAGTTTCAAAAAATGTAGTGAATTCAACACACCAAAATATATTTTAACTAGTGACAAACTTTATGCTCTTCTTGAAATAACAAATATGGTATTGAGTTTGAAGTTTTTCTATGCCATTTTCTAAAAACAATGCCAGTAATGTCATAAAACTCTTTGTGTTGATTAATGTAGCAATTTTATTCACTTTTTAAGATTTTTGCCTAAAGTGTCAATTTTCTATTCTCTGTCAAATGCGAAGTGATTTTTGAAAACTGTCAAAACCTTTCTATGAATTCCTTCTATGATTTTCACCATATCTCTCGAGACGTATTTTTTTTTCATTATTTATCGATTATCGATTTCTTCCTTTAGATTACTGAAAAGGAATTTAATCTCGAATTTATGATGATATCTAGTGTGACATCCTTTTCGCCGACGGAATTGCAAAGTTTACATAAATAAAGCATTTACAGGCAATGCTTATAAGACAGTCTTGTTGCTTTGCAAAAATAATGCATTGTTTGCTATTTACATTTTGGATCATAATTTTGAAGTTTTTATGAGACGTCATCAATTATTGTCCCATAAATTGTTTTTGACAGTTCTATACTTTAAAATTTCTAATTGGTGTTCCAGTTTCTCTTTCAAAGTACAAACACAAAAATTCACTTACGCCGTGAACATTTTCTTTTGCATAGCATCTACAAAACGTAAACTGTATACAACTTGAATCATATGATATTATTAAAATTTTCTGGTTTGCAATTTAGATCATGTGACATTGCTAGTTTTACATTTTATTTGCAAAATGGATGTCACTGCTAATGTCACTATTTAAGATAAATACAGATGCCTTAAACGTCATTTAACGCATTTTGTTCTTCTCAATGCACCAAATTGTCCCCAATTACATTTAATGAGATTGAAAAATGTACATATGTTCTTTTCATCTTATTTAAGTTACGCTCTTATTCTTCTTAAAATGTTTTAAGTAACTTTTTACTTTAAGCACAACATTTAAAGAACGTAAAAGAAATAGAGAATTAGAGCGATGCAAATTAAGAAAATTCCTTGCAGCTAGTCAGTCTTACATTATTGTGCCACCATTCGAGATGAGTAAACTTAAAATTTTTGTGAAGGTCTTGGAGTTTCCATTATTTCCTTAATTTTTTGCACTGTTTATATTTTGATACAAATATGCTTAATACAATGTGATCGTCTTGGCGCTACCAAATGGTTGTGAATTTTCTTCAGATTATTCACTTTATGAATTTCAAAATAAAATGAGTTTCATTTGTTATTCTCAGTTATCTACCCAATTTTCCAGATTTTAATAAAGCCTGTTTTCTATTTTACCATAATTCTTACATTTCAATGCTTTATAAGTACATATACAGTTTTCAAACGCCCTCCTTTAAGCCATAAGAAACTATATGAATACTTACAGATCATCTCACTATATCACTCGTACTCAGACAAATGTGCTTCCTTAAACTCCTTTTGTTATAATGAACTTAATTTTTTGTTAATTTTAGTTTATTAACTTTTTTTTTGTTATTATTGGTCTTACATCCAATTTTACCCGGAATTCCTATGTATTTTTGTCTTTGTTTGTTTTGCAATAAGTTTTACTAATTAAAAGTTTTACCATGGAATTTTTATTTTGAAAATCCTAAGGAGAAAAATTTTTGATTTTATATTTTCGGATATCTGTGATGGTTGAAACCGCATGTAAATACAAGGTAACTTTCATTTAAAAGACGCAATATTAGAGAAAGCTTAAGAAGGAATCGTGAAGCATTTCTTTAATCTGTTCGTTTAAGCATATAGCATGAAATTTTCGATATTATTGATTGATTTTTTGTATATAATAAATAAATAGCATTAAATCTTGAACGTAGTAGATAATAATTGTATACAGATAGGTAGACAAATTAGCAGGAGTTATTCTAAACTACTTTTGCTACTAAGAGGCATAATAGCATAACCGCTATTATGCCTCTTAGTAGCAAAAACGCTCAACCAACAGTCCCAATTTCTGCGTACAATGATTCAGATTGCCAATAGCCCGTGAGAGGACCAACTGCTTTCGAATTACCGACAATTTGCCTTCTGTGGGTAATTCTTTTGCTATTTTCTACGCGTACCCTTCAATCTGCCTTCTGTGGGTAGTTCTTCTGCTAATTTCTACGCGTAATTCATATTGCAATCTTATATTGCAATCAACAGCAAATACATGCACATATATTTACGACACAACAACTTTAATTTCAAACCACTATTTAAATCTAATTTATTAAAGTTTCAATACAAAAACATTTTAATATACTTTAAGAAACTTTAAGGCAAGCTATCACCAAAAATTTATTTCATCCAAAAATTCCATATACATATATGTGTGTATATGCATGTACACATTTAGCTTTAAAAAATAAACTAATCTCTTCTATTCCTATTCAGTCCATAGAATAATAATAAAGTTAAACTAAATATTTTTCAAGAGTTGCATCTCTATTTTTTTTTTATACATTTATTTCTTCTATCTTAAGATATAGAATTTAAAAGCTCCTAACTACATCAATTAGGTCAAGTTATTGTCCTTTAATGGAAGTTCATCGTTTTTCTCACAGAATTTTATCACTACTTATTCATATTTCTTTCTCTCTGTTTTTTTGTTGTTGTAGTATTTCATTCTCTTATGATACAACTATTAAGGATAATTGAAAAAAAAAAAAACAAAAGATAATAAGAAAAAAATTTCATTGCAGAAAATGAAATATGATTATTTTTATTACTCTTTCATATCTTAGATATAGTTCCTAAATTGCTTCATCAACAAAGTCTCTGGGACTGGCTGGGTATTTGAAAGTACATTAAGGATTCATAAATAAATTGAAAACTTTAATTTTTTGTTTTTACATTTATCATAATTTAATTTTTATAAGATTAATTTGCAAATTTTAAAAATTTTTGAAAATTATTTTATATTTTTCTTGTACACAAGTATAAAATGTTAAAATTTATAATTCTAATATCTCTAGAGAGAGGTGACCCCATAGGTGCTCAAAAATCTATGTAAATTCTTAAAAAATTACTGCAGTTTTTAACTAAACTATTTGTATTGAGTTCATTATAATTGGTTTTTTTCGCTTCTAATATCAAACCATGTGAATAAATCAATCTAGAAATTAATTAAATCACATGCAAATGAATTTTGCTAAGGGAATATCAAAGACAGTGCTTAAAGGTATGAGCAATATCTATGATTTAATATCTTAATACACAAGAGTTCCTATATAAGCAATCTCTGTTGAGGGTTGTTCAACGTTGGTACAGTTTAGCAAAAATTAATCACAAAATTTAAATACCTATTTAGTGTTAAAAGAACATCTGTTCGGTCAATAGCAAGCATTAATACACCAAATATAGTCACGAATTCACTGCTTTTTCAAATGCAGTGCAGGTTAATATATTTTCTCATAATTAAATGGATGAATTACTCTAGTTATGAGAAAATACTATGTCCCTTAGAAATATTGAGCGAAGCCTAGGTATGGAGTTCACATTAGTGAGAATAAACGTATCTAAAAAAGTGTTTTATTAATTTGAGACTGAAATTTTAAATCAAAACAAATATTTAATAAAACCCAACATAAGAAAGCTTACACTTTTACAACAATTGGTACGTATTTAGATCCTTGCATAAATTGGGCAATTTACAACACTTTAAAGTTATTTAAGCATTTACTTAATATGCATTATCTTTTCCTCATACTATACAGAGATCGTATCAGTTCTTCTTTTGTAATACTTTACTTATATTGTAATATTATAAAATGTTGAAGTAAATAATGACAATATGATTTTTATTTTATATTCAAATAGTTCCAATATGTGCTATGTAATAATTTTAACTACTTATATTCATATACTCATACATATATACATATACATTTTCTGTATATAAAAGGAAACTCTAAAAAAAATTGTGATAAGGAACAAAAATTCTTGGAAATATTATAATATTTTTACTTATCTTAAGCTATATTAGAAGAATATTACGGCCTTGAGCTAAATCCATAAAATAAATTCTAACAACCGATTGTGAAACTTCTTTAAAATGTAAATCTTTAATATATCTTCTTCAGAATACAAAATTCATAAACACATATGTATATGTGTAAAGCACAAGAATATATAAGAAATACATACATATGTACATGTATAAAGAGTTAAGCTTTTATTAATATATTTTATGTTAGTGTTAATAAATATGGTGTTAAAGTAAAATTCAGAAAGATGAAAGTGCAAAGTACAAAACACAGGTATAAAGAGACATATTGGGTTCTTGCTATATTGGTATATAAGACGAACACTTGCAAAAATGACAATGCGAATTGCCACATTACAATTTTCATATGTTATTGCCTTTTACAACATTGGCTAGCGAAACCGATTTGTGATATTCATTTTAAATTTCAAAATCGGCATATTTTAAGTTCGGGCTGTAAACAATGTATTTCCGAATATTTTAAGATAATCACTATTCAGTCCTGTAAACATTTTTTACTCTTTTTTTGTATGTTTTTGATCGCATTTCGCTTACAAAATTCAGTACTGTGTTTTTCAAAATACTTTGTAAGTTGTATGGGGTTCCAAAATGGGATAGCGATGCGAATATATGCTGTTGTATGCTGTTAACGGCACATAGCCTCTCCTATCCAATTCCTATCCTCACTTTCGCGAGGTGGAACCTGATACCCTGAGCAACCAGTATGTAACCAACCCCAGTGTAGTAATCTGGTCAGGAACGAACGAGGAAGGAAGAAACGGTGCTGCCTTGTACTTGGTGAGATTGGATTCTCAAAGGCTAGGAGACGGAAACTCCGAAATTAAATGACCTGGTCCCCCAAGTTGGGGGTTGTTCGTGCGGCTAACAACCGGACAACGTCAAAAAGAATATTGTTATGGAATCTCACAATGAGCCTCGGATATCGAACGGAAATAATGGAACACAGACCTTGAACCGCCCAAAGGATAATGATTTGAAAATAGCGACCTGGAATGTTAGGACTATGTTACAAATAGGGAAGATGCAAGAGGTAGCAAATGAAATGGCAAAATATAAAATCGACCTTATGGCTTTGCAAGAAATAAGGTGGGCCAATAAAGGAAAAATCGAAAAGCCTCAATATACGTTATTCTACAGCGGAAGCGCATCTGGTAGGAGAACTGGATTGTATGGTACTGGATTCATGATAAACAAAAAGTTAAAAAGCACCGTAATGGCTTTTGAACCAGTTAATGTTAGAATATCTATGATAAGATTAAAAGGAAAATTTTGCAACATCACAATAGTAACCGCTTACGCCCCGATCGAAGATGCAGATGCTGAAGACAAAGATATATTTTATGAAAATCTAAGTAATGTGTGCGAAAAAGTAGATAGATATGACACTTTAATATTGATGATTCCAATGCAAAAGTGGGCAGAGAGCAGCATGTAGTGAATATTGCTGGTAAATACTCATTACATGAAGTATGCAACAATAATGGTCAGCGGTTATGCCAGTTTGCCGATGAAATATCAATGAAAATAAAAAGCACGGCATTCGAGCGTAAAAATATATACAAAGGCACATGGAAAGTACCGGGGAGCGGCATAGTAAATCAAATTGATCATGTTTTAATTACAACAAGGAGGGCTTCGTCGATAATTGATGTAAGGTCGTGCAGAGGTGCTAATTGCGACAGTGACCATTACCTTGTTAGGGTTACTGTGAGGCAAAGAATATCAAATATTACAAAGCAGCGAGGTAAGAAAAAGATAAAGTGGAATACAGAAAAACTCTTACAGCCCACCGTCAAAGAAAACTATCAAGAGAAAATACAGCATCATTTGTTCCACAATGTAAACAGTCAGAACGAAACAATAGAGAACATGACAGAAAATATCGAAAAAGCCATAATATCAGCTGCAACAGAAATAGTGGGTAAGGCACCAACACAGCGAAATAGTGAATGGTTTGACAGCGAATGTAAAGATGCAATTGAAATTAAAAATGAAGAGCGGAAAAAAATGCTGCAGCGGAATACAAGAGCAATCAGAGAAGAATATAAACGAAAGAGAGTAATTGCTAATAAAATTTGCAAAAAGAAGAAGAAACAAATGATGAAAAGTAAGGTAGAAAATATTCAAAAGGACCACAATAAAAATGACGTTAGAAAATTCTATAATAATATTAAGAAAATGACGAATGGATATCAGCCAAGACTGAATATATGTAGGGATAAGCCAGGGAATATGTTATTAGAAGAAAATAAAATAATGTCACGTTGGGTAGAATACTCGTATTTTAAAGAGCTATTAAACGTGCCCCATGAACAACAACAAAATGACGAACAAGAGTTGATGACGGCAGAGCCCCTGGATATATTACCAACATTTGACGAAATTAAAACAGCAATTTTTAAATTGAAAAATAATAAGGCTCCTGGTGAGGATAACGTAACGGCAGAGCTGTTAAAAATGGGTGGTGAGGAGCTTCAGAAAAGTATACATAGATTAATATGTAACATTTGGCAACAAGAGACTATACCTGAAAAGTGGAATATGGGTTTGATTTGTCCCATACACAAAAAGGTTGACAAAACAGACTGTAATAATTATCGAGGGATCACGTTATTAAACTGTATGTATAAGGTCCTGTCTAATGTAATTTATGAACGTGTCAAACCAATGGCTGAGGAGATAATAGATGAATACCAATGTGGGTTCAGAGGCAATAGGTCGACGGTAGACCAAATATTTTTACTGAGACAAAATATGGAGAAATGCTACGAGCACAATGTAGATCTTCATTTGCTCTTTATTGACTATAAACAAGCTTTTGATAGTGTAGATAGAATTAAATTAGAAATAGCACTGAAAAGACAAGGAATACCGCAAAAACTTATAAATTTAATGATAATGACAATAAAAAATTCAAAAGCCAAAATAGTTTTACAAGGACAAACCTAGGGTGCATTTGAAATTAAAACTGGTGTGAGACAGGGAGATGCACTATCTGCACTAATGTTTAATCTTCTTCTACAACATGCTTTAGGAAAACTTTATACTGATGGTAACATTTTTTCAAGAACGTCACAAATAATGGCATATGCAGATGATGTTGTTATAATTGGGAGAAGTGTAAGGGCCATGTGTGAAGCGTTCGTAAAAATCGAAAATGAAACATCAAAAATCGGTTTAAAAATAAATGAGGCAAAAACAAAATACCTAGAAATGTCTAGAACACCGAGAAGGCGACAATTATAAAATATGACAATTGGTCAATACAATTTCGAACGTGTAACAAGTTTTAGCTACCTTGGGGCTGTAGTTCGCAACGACAATAGTATGCACTATACCATAAATGATAGAATACAAGCGGGCAACAGGAGCTATCACGCCAACAAGAAACTCATACAATCGAATCTACTGTCCAGACGAACCAAACTAATTATATATAAAACAATTATACGTCCAGTCGTGACATATAGTAGTGAGACATGGTCAATGACAAATGGTGATATGCTAGCCCTGCGAGTATTTGAGCGAAAAATATTAAGAAAAATTTTCAAAGCAAGAAGATTGGATAATGATGAATATGAAAGACGAAGCAATAGTGAATTAGAGCAGTTAATAGGGGGAGAAGATATCGTTAGATTTATAAAATCACAGAGATTAAGATGGGCAGGACACGTGGCCCGAATGGATGATGAAAGGGCACAGTTCAAGATTTTTAATGGTCGTCCTTACCTCAGTCGTGCAAGAGGTAGACCAAGAACAAGGTGGGTCGACAATGTAGAAAGCGATGCGCGAAGGCTAGGGATCCAAAATTGGAAAACATCGGCGCAGGAAAGGACAACTTGGAGGCAAATTGTGCAGATGGCCAAAGCCTACCCCGGGCTGTAGTGCCAAATGATGATGTTATAAGTTGTATGAAGTTGAATTGAAGTTGTATGGCAAGTACCAGAAAGAGCCAAGAAATTTTAACGAATTTTATCAAACACATCGATCCTACTAATATATTATCCTACTTGTGTGAAATTTCAATACCACAGCTTTTACTGTTTCTGAGATATACCCAAATAAATATTGAAGTTGTATGGCAGCTACCCGAACTGGTACCCCGATCATGTCTAATTTAAATAGGGTTCTGGCACTTACTACAATAAATCATTTTGAGAAATCAGGAATCTTAATACAATCTAATTATGAGAAATCAGGACGGACGGACAGACAAAGCTAAGTCAACTCACGATTCGACGCTGATCAAAAACATACACTTGAGTCTATATCTAACACCGTTATTTCTTATCGTTACAAACGGTAAGGCAAATTTAGAATACTCTTCGAACATAAGTTCGTACGGGTATAATGAATGTCAGAGTGACATACACAAAATGAAGGTATAAATTCATGTTAAACTGATTTCTATCGCTATGTCGAACAGTTATTGAATAGTAATACATTCCCCTTCGTATATTTTTCACAAATTTTTTTTTATTGTAATTTGGGGATTTGCTGATATAATCTGATCGCACACTAGTATACATCGCAGAATAAGAGTCTTAATAACTACTATATCAATTATTTCAAAAATTTTCGGAATTTCATCTTAACTTATTTTGAATTTATTGTATACCGTATACACAAACTTATGCACATATTGAGAAGAAACAATAAGTTGTTTTCAATTTTTGTCTTCCAAAAAAATGACGAAAAGAGACAAAAAAAAAATTGTTTTTTTTTTTTTTTTTTGTGTGGAATGCGAAGGGCTTCCTTAAAACTCATGAAATATTAATTTAAAAATAATATTTTTTTTTTTTTGTATTTTTTCCCTGAATTTTTCTTGTTCTTTTCTTATTTTAAGAAAGAATATCTTATGTATGTGCCCGCCGTATACATCATTATTACATAATTCCCAAAATAAAATATAGATAGATATGATATGTGGATGTAGAGGGGGGAGGGGGTATGAATGTCCTTTAATACTAAATTTTATTCGATATGGTCAATTTCCATTAAAGAACATTATCCTATCTTTCGCTTATAATCTTTTTATTATTAGGTTCTTATTCTCATATTTTGCTTTTGTTTTTGTTTTTTTTTGTTCTTCTTCTACTATGGGCAAAGCTAACCACATCAGGGATCAAATAAAATTGTAATCTCATTTTATTAAAATATTTTTTTTTTCCTTTTTTTTATGGATGAAAGACGACATCGACCCGGATTGGAGGGGTATTTTTGTCTTGTTGTTTTTCTGTTTTTTTTTTTGTTTTTTTGAATTTTTGCTATTTTTGTATGTGTTTTGTGTATGTTTTTGTTTAGTTTTACTTATAGATTATTCAATAGACATATTGAAAGTTCGGAATGCATGACAATAAGTTGTTGTCCGACCAAAAAATACTGTTTGTATACCTTTTTTTCTCTTTTTTTTTTTTGTAATACATACATAATAATATTTATTTTCTTTTTTCTGGTTATTTGGCAATATTATTATTGCTATTATTATTATTTTTATTATTATTATTATTCTTGTAATCTTCAAATAAGTACATACACACATATATATAAGAGACTTTATGGAATATGACTTTTCTTCTAGAGTTCTAGTAAATTATAAAAAAAAAATCATATATGTATGTGTGCTTGTTCATGTATTTGTACATATGTACATATATTATGTAAAATAAACTAACTATATTCTATGTATTAAATATATATCCATAAATAAAATATTTAAACGAAAAATATTTATAAAAACAGGGTCGGATTAGTTAAAATAAATATTTGCAAAATTTTATATATAGAAATTTTCTAAGAGGCGAAGTAATATAAACTAAAAATTTTATATAATTTTGTATTAAAGTTAATTCTCAACAGCAAAATACTGCGGGTTTAGATACGCAAGTTGCAAGCTTGAAACTGCCAATACAGTGTTGTCAAATTGTCATAATTTCAATGAACAAATAACGTAATTATTCATCAATGTTTCAACAAATTATCTAAATATTATAAAATTCCAAATCTAATTCAATAATATATATGCTACGTCTCTTTTTTTCTCCTTTTCCAGCAATAAGACACATGTAAGGCTGTTGTATGACGTTATAAAGGATCCACATCTCAATTTCATTAAGTCATTGGGTTTTAATAAGAAGCTGACTAGTCTACCGTAGTTAGTAATGTTGGTACCAAAAGTATTTATTTTTTACTATAAAATATATACAAAAGTACATGTTAGAGTTTAAATGAAAATAGATTTGTCATAGATATGACAAGAGATTTGTTAGGAATTTCATAGCAAAAAATATATAATATTAAAACTTGTACCTAAAACTGCACCAAGAAATGAAAATTATCATCTGTTTTATTTTGTAGCAGTTCATAAAGCTCACAATTACCGTACTATAGAGAAAAATATGGAAAATCCAAATTTTAAGGCCATTTAAATGCAGTTAGAAAACCTCGTTATTTCACAATGAAAAAGTATAAGTCTTGAATTCCATCAATAATTTTCAATTTCCAATAATTATTCTATTGCAAATTAATTTCATACAAATAGAGTACAAGCTCCGGCCCAGATCACAAAATGATAATAGATATTCTAATCGCATTTAAATGGAAGATTTAACGTATCTATATATTTATATAAACACACACATATACTACTTGCATTTCACTTATAATAAATCTTGATTAAATATCCTAAAATCTTTCTTTATAAGACACTTTTTTTTTCCATAAATTCAAAAGGAGGATAAAGTTAATCTTTATCATACGTTTTATATTTATTTAAGGTGAATTTTAAATTAAAATATTTGAATTAATAATTTTCATATATTATTTTTTTTTTATTAATTTTATTTTATAAGAAAGTTTTATTATTATATATATAGATTTAAAGTGAATATATCGATTTATTATGAATTTTTAATAGAAAAGAAAAGGATATTTTCAATTCAACAAAAAAAAGTTAATGGAGAACAAGGATTTAAGGTTTGAATAATGGAAGAATATGAACTGAATAAGATATCCAATTGAAAAGGATTTATCTAACTACCAACTGAGTACATATAGGAACATACAATTAGTCAATTTGAACATTAGGAAATCTAAGACCATTTAAATGATTTTTATTGTATCTACTCAATAAAAAAATTCTATAATAACGCTTTTATCCGTGTAAAATTCTATTGTAAATAGCTCGTTTAGAACTTAATATAGAATTTTAATTTTTTGTATATGTTTAATAATTATGACCATTTTCATTTTAATTTTTAGTTTAACACAAATTTATATTTAAGTTTCAAATGCAAATTTAAAAGAAATTATTATAAAAAGTAGGAACTTAATCTAAAAATAGGCATTGATTTCATATACAAGTGCATATAGTATGGACAAAACCGGTACAATGAACAATGAAATAAAAAGTAATAAAATACAGGGTGTTTCCCATAAAGTGGCAAATAATTTCAGGGATGATTCTTTAATCAATTTCCAATAAAAAATTGTATTAGGGGAAAGGGATGCAGATATACTCGTTTTCAAGCTACAGGCTGTTGAAAAAAGGTATAAGATGTAATGTAAATTGTAAATGAATGCTTATAACTTCGGAATCATGCGATGTAGAGTAATCATCGGGTGCTTGTTTTACAGATAATTGATTGCTCTTTATTTTCAATTTTACAATTAATTAGATCTGAGCCATAGTTTTTATAATTTTATCATGAAGTGTGACTAATTGTAAAGATATTGTCAAAGATTTTACAATATGTTATATTTTTAAAGTCCTTTCTAAGTTCGGTCCCCTCATTTTAATCAAATAATTTTCGTTGAAAGCATTCTTATACCGTCAAAATTTGTTATACCAGGCCCGAATACTATATAGATGCAATTTGTTTATTCGAATAGGATTTTCGAACAATAATGTTATGATACGATGAATCCACCATGATGAATTTCCAATTTTAAATGAACACATATAAAATACGCTTTAAAATTCAAGTTAATTTGACGTCGACTTTATAATTTTTGCATTTTATATTTTTTTTCTGTTTTTATTTCTATTTAAATTTGCGGCAACTTTATAATTATTAGTATTGAAGTAAGCTATATACATATAACCACATTCTTCAAGGACTTCTTAATTCCCTTCCATGCATTTATTTGTATTACAAACCTAAAAGACAAAATTTTTTAATTACAAAATTTCCCCATAAACTTTTATTTTTAAATTTAATAGAATTACAAAAAAAAAAAAACAAAAT